TGTAGGCCCATTAGGGGATATTAGGAATATTCTTTCGAATATTCCATATGATTTGTCTTTTAGGACTTAGAAGGGGTTTATCCCTTATATATAGAGCAAAAAATAACCTTGTAAGCTCTCGGGCATTTTCCTAACTTATAACACTTGCTTACAAAATCTATTGAGGTCATTATTGTTTAAAGGTTCGTCTTGACAGGATAAAGAAATCCTATCCCCTGTATTCTCCTTGTACATCTTTCGTTCTAGAGATTATTATACTTAACTAAGATTTACCCCTTCATTCTCTTTGATTGATTTATTCAAAAAAGTTCCGATATTTTTTGAGTCAAAACAAATATAATAGTATAACCTTAGGCATGACTATGGGCATAGTGTATCGTGGTATCAGACCACCTAGCGACTACTAATCAAGTTCGGCGACGGCGACGGCAAATTGGTTTTGCATTCTCCGCTTTTTTCTTCACCTTAATTCCACTGTCTCTTGTTTCCCATCAAGTTGCTAATTTGAATTGTGCCTCTGTGTATTATTTTATGAATTTGATTCTTTATAACTTTCTTTTTCTTTGAACTCAATTATATAATATCATATTTCCTTTCCTTCAATTATCTAAATAGTCAAGGTTAGTACTGCTCTTATTATTTCTCCAACAGATTCTCATCAAATATAGCATCCATCTTTCTTCGTTTGTTTTATATAAATTTCTTCACATGGTTGGTATGGCCTTTTCCATGCATGTTAAGGGCCTTGTTCCTGTAATTTTACATCAAGCTAATTATTTTTAAATGGTACATCTTATTAAACTTGTTATTGAGATATATGATTTGTTTGGACATATCGATGGTTTTGCGCCACCTCCTTCTGAACTTATTGTCTCTTCTGATGGTACTTCTAATCCAGCCAATTCAGCCATGTTACGTGGAAAAAGTAACACCGTCATCTTCGTACCTAGATTCAGGCGACTATTCACAACGATCTTTATTCCTCTATTATATTATTGTTCTACTGTTGCTGATGCTTGTACCACATTAAAAAATTACTTTCTCCATTAATCCACAAGAGAAATGCAATACAAACATCAACTACATACTATTAAAAAAGCAGACCTCTCTACAGATACTTATATCTCTAAGATTCAAGAACTTATTGCCTCCACTGTATTGGTCGTAGTGTTTATCATCTTAAGTTGGTACAATGTGCTCTTAATAGACTTCCGACTTCTTACGACTCTTTTGTGATTATGGCCTCGTACACGTGAATAGAGGCGGATCTAGGATTTTAGTTCTATGAGTTTAACATTTAAAATTATGGGTTCATATCTACTATTTATTATAATTTTAGTAATTTTTTACACGTAAATTTATGTTCCACATTAAAAATACTGGGTTTAGTTGAACCCAATAATTGTATGCTGCACCCGCCACTGCATGTGAACACGTAATTTTTGCCCGATGAAAATATTCCCACAAAATTCCAACTAAATAAATAAATAAATAAATAAATTTTTTCTAGTTGTTTTTTAATAGAATTTTAGAAATTTCTTTTTAATTGTCCGTTTGCATTTAGTTGCATTTTATGCATTTTAAAATCATAAAAAATCATTGAAAAAATGTCCAATTCTTTATTTCATAGCATTTTAAAAATTTAATCACATATTAATTGCATTATTAAACACAAAAATGCAAGGGTCATTTCTACATTTTTTAGCTTTTAGTTTTAAATTTATAATTTTCTTTCATTAGTGTTAAGTTATTATAGGTAAGTAGGTTTAATTTGGTAAATTAAATTTAAGTTAGGAGTTAATTGTGATGACCCAAAAGGTCATCACTTGTTTTAGAAATAAATTCTGCCGAGGCCTTAAAAACCTCTTTCAACATCACTTCGATTTGCGTGCACAATCCGGACGCGTAGCCGGAAAGCCATTATGTGAAAATCTGTGAAAAATGATGAATTTTGACTTTAAAATGAATTTAAGTTGACTTCGGTCAATATTTTGGGTAAACGGATCCGAACTCGTGATTTGACGGTTCCGGAGGGTCCGTAGGAAAATATGGGACTTAGACGTATGTCCGGAATCGAATTTCGAGGTCCCAAGCTCGAGAAATGAATTTTTAAAGAAAATTATTTTCTGGAATATTTATGAGTTTTTGGAAATGAAATGTGTTTAAAATTTGATGGTATCGGGCCTGTATTTTGGTTTCGGAGACCGGTACAGGTCTTATATGTGATTTAAGATGAGTCTGTGAAATTTGGTAAGAAACGGACTTGAAATGACGTGAATCAGACCGTATTCGAAAAAATTGGAAAATTTGAGGTTCTTAAGTGATTTCATGATTTTGATGCTAAATTCATAGTTGTTGATGTTATTTTGGCGATTTGATCGCACGAGTAAGTTCGTAGGGTATTTTTGAGGTAGTGTGCATGTTTGGTTTGGAGCCCCGAGGGCTCGGGTGAATTTCGGATAGGTCTCGGAAGGTTTTTGAACTTAGGAAAATTGCAGAACAGCTGTTTCTGATGCACATGCCTTCTGTGCTTCGCGATCGCGAAGCCTATCACGCGATCGCGAAAGGGAAATTTGGGCAGGGGTGGATTTATTCTTCGCGAACGCGAAGCCACAGTCGTGAACGCGAAGCACTGAGGGGTTGCTCATCGCGAACGCAACCGGTGTCACGCGAACGCGTAGTGTAAAATGGAGGTGGGCTGGGGACTTCTCATTCCTTCTACGCGAACGCAAAGGCCAGGGGGCTTATCCTTCGCGAACACGTAGGAGATCTCGCAATCGCGTAAGCCTGAGGAAGGCTGCTCTTCGCGAACGCGGCAGGCCCATCGCGTACGCGATGGAGGCCTACCAAGTCTTTTAAAACAGAACCAAAAAAATGGGCAGAACTCATTTTTATCATATTTTCGAACTCCCAAGACTTAGAGGCGATTTTCTTCACACAAATTCATCCCCAAAGTGTTGGTAATCAATCTAAACTTTACTCTTTCAATTACCCAATGTTTTTCATCACTTTTTAATCAAAAAACAAGAGTTTTCATGGTAGAAATTAGGAATTTGGGTAGAGTTAGGGCTTTTTGAATAATTGAAATTTAGACCTCATTTTGGAGTCGGATTTCGAAACTAATTGCATATTAGGGCTCGTGGGTGAATGGGTGATCGGATTTTTGTCCGAACCTCGTGTTTTGACCAAGCAGGCCCAGGGTCGATTTTTGACTTTTTGGGGAAAATGATAGAAAACCTATAATTGAGCATTGGGTATGAATTCTTTAGCATTTATTGATGTTGTTAAATCAATTTGGACTAGATACGAGTTGTTTGGAGGCAAATTCTAAAGAAAAAGCGGTGTTTGAGGCTTGGGTTGGCCGTGGAAATTCGAGGTAAGTGTTTGGTCTAACCTTAGCTTGAGGGATTAAGAGTTGTGTCCTATTTGCTACGTGTTACTTGTTGAGTACGACGTATAGGCATGGTGCCGAGTATCTATACGTTGGTGTCAAACATGACCGTGAGTCTTAAATTGAAATTGTTGTGTTCCTAATAAGTACTACGAATGCCTAAGTTGTTGATTCTCTGTATTGAGCAAGAATTATGATTTTTCTCGTGGGAATTGCTTATGGTTGGGTATTGGTGCTAGTTGAGGTTTCTTTTGTGAAGTTAGATGTTGGAACAAGTTTGGTTATAGCTAATTTTTCCTTACCGGGATGTATTTACTTATACTGCCGATTCCCTTGCCAGGATAGTGTTGTTTCTTTATTGTTCCCTTGCCGGGACTCTCTTTGTGATTGGTGTTGAAATGTATACGTGGATCGGGTTGCACGCCGCAACAATATTATATTTGGTTCTGGTTGCACGCCGCAACAATAATATAATTGGATCGGGTTGCACGCCGCAATAGTGATAAATGATATGGATCGAGTTGCACGTCGCAATAGTGTTTTTTTGATTTGGATCGGGTTGCGCGCCGCAACAATAGATAATAAAAGTATTTATTGATTGGTTACGATTTCCTTAGTTTTTTGCTGTGAATTTTAAATTGTTCTTTATGCTTTTCTCTTAAATTGCTGTTGGTAAATGATATTTCCCGCAGCATGTCCCCCTCATATCTTTAATTGTCTATTTCTATTTTATTTTCTGCTGTATATGATATAACTGCACAAGTTTATTTGGTAGTTTGGTCCTAGCCCCGTCACTACTTCTCCGGGGTTAGGCCATGCACTTACCAGCACTTGGGGTCGGTTGTACTGATACTACACTCTACACTGTGTGCAGATCCTAGAGCGGCAGCTTTTGGACCGTAGCTTTGGGTGGCTGCCTTCAGTCTAGTCAGAGATTTCGAGGTAGTCCTGCAGGCCCCGACGTTCTCCTCTATCTTTATATTCTGTTTTCATTTACTTTAGAGACAAATTGTATCTTTCTTTCTAGACAATTGTTTGTAGTATTTGTAGATGATCCATGATATTGTGACACCGGTTCCGGGTAGAGATGTACTTGGTATTGCCGTACTTATTTTTGGCTAAGTTATCAGATTACGTCTTCCGCATGTCTTTATTTATTGTTAATATTTCACGGTTGATCGTATGTTATTTTAAACTCTTAAAAAGGGCTAAATAAAAGAGTTAGTGAATCTATAATACTCGGCTTGCCTAGCTTTCACGAGTAGGCGCCATCACGATTCTCGAGGGTGGGAATCCGGGTCGTGACATTAATTTAGGATTTTAATTGATTTGTTTAGAATTTAAAATCAAAGAAAAAGAAACAAAGAAAGGAAAACAAGGCTTTTGCTTGTGTTGGGACAAACACCTCAGAGGCCCAAATTGGGCAAATCTGCCCAGTCCGCACCAAATACCCCACCCCAGTCTGTTTCCCCTCATTAAAATAACTAAACGACCTCGTTTTATTATCTTTTAATCCCCACCATCCATCGAGATTCATCCAACGGTCAGGAACTCCCCATCCCAATCACTTATAATTGTCTGAATTGGTCCCCTAAACCCTAGAACCCCTTCATTTCCCCCATCTCTCAATCTATTACCCTTCTCCTGACATACCGCCGCCGAAAATCACCCTATGGCGGCGGCACCATACCAAATGGCCCAATTTTATCACCATACAATCTCCTTCCCCTCCTAATCCCAAATCTCCTACCAATTTTCCCAGAAAACCTCCCCAAAATCCTTTAATTTCAAATCTAAGAAATCGCAAAAACCTTAAAGTTTTCCCTTTTTTAATTTGTCCCTAATTCTGGCTCATTTGAGATCGAAACCTACACCAGTTGACTTCTCTTGATGATTGCATGAACTTTACTGATCTCATGACCACCAGAACCTTGGTCAAGCTCCATTGGGTCGCACAACTCATCCTCGCCTTGTTCTGCTTCATTTTATCGGGTCAGTAGGAGATATTTGCTGCATAGAACAATATCTCGCATGGAGAAATCCGGCCAGTGTTTGTGTGGCAATTTCTCCGGCTTGCCGGAAATCCGTTTCTTTTGACAACCCATTCAAACACTATAGGTATTTCTCTCCTCTGCTCTTTTCTCATTAATGTGTCGTTAGTTCAGATTAATTTTTATGTTAATTGTAATTGTTCAAGTTAGTTCATTTTAGCAAAATAAAGTAGCATCACTACTGTCTTGCCTTGAACTACAATTGCATTCTGTGTGTTTAATTGTCCGATTAGATTAGTATTTCAAATACACGCCTTTCATGTGAGTGTGTGATTGGGTTAATTGGTGATTTCTGTTAATCCAAGCATGCTTAGGTTTATAATTAAAATTATTTTGACTTTCTAAGTGGTTATTTGTTTTAGTTGAATCTGAAATCATTTGATAATCGTGTTGCTTGTTTAAATTATCTATTTTCCTAATTAATACGTTAATTAGTTGATAATTTAGGTTTACTTTGTGTTGTTATCCTAGTGCTAGTTTAGCTTTGTTTAGTTTAATTGTGATAAGGAAAAAAGAGCCGTAAATTTGGATAAAAGACTGCATGTTTGGAGGTAATATAGAATGTTAAAAGAAAAGTAATTTGCAAGAATTGAGTAGACTAGAGAGTACACCAAAATTAGAGAATCTGAGTAGTTACTTAGGAAGCTTCCAGAAAAGAGGTTAAAGTGTAATGAAAACCAGAAATTAGGTTAGACGTTGGGGTAAAAAGGTTACTTTAAAAAAGGGTATGGTGCTGAAAAAAATAGAGAAAAGGACAGCTGCTAAAAAAATATGACAGCTGTCTATTTTCTGTTAAAAAAAATAGACGCCCTCCCCTAATTTTTAGCTGACAAGATTCCTTTTTATCCTCCCCTTTTCCTCTTACACTCTATAAAAGAGACCTCACACTTCCCTTTCACACACACAAAAGTCTACAAAAAAACCTCACGCTACTTTTCTCACCCACACTAATTTTTTTTTTTTTTCAAAAAATAAAGAAGTTGAAAAGTTCAAGTCTAGATACAGAAAATATAACAAAAAGAAAGAATTCAAAGCTGCTTCTCTTTCCTTTTTTTTTTCTACTGGTTTTTGTTTCAATTCTAGTGGGATTTTGAGTGGTGGTTGATTATGCTGTTCTTAAGTTGCTGAGAGTATTTGCTGATTTTCTGCATTTAGCTGTGGAGTGGCTGGCCTTCATTTGGTCATAATGTTTCCTCCTTAAGCTGTTTGGAGGTAATTCAATATAAGCTCTTTGATAGTTTTCTGGATGTATTACAACTTTAGAAATAATAGTTATGATATTGAAATCAGTTCTGTCACGATTCAAATCCGTTAAATGTCGTGATGGCGCCTAACCCGTTGTAGGACAAGCTAACGATAATTGATTAACTTGATTACTCATTTTAGTATTTTGAAATCAAATTTTTTCCTTCAATTAAATAATAAGAGATAAAGTTTTATAGAGTAGGTGATAATATTTTCAAAATTATAATACTGAACAATCCATAATTACCCCAAAATCTGGTGTCACAAGTGCATGAACATCAACTAAGGAGTAAAATAAAATACAACATCTGTCCGGAACACATATTAGACAGGAAAAATATAAATAGCTCTGAAGGAGACTCTGCTGACTGCGAATCGTAACATGGAATGCAATCACCTAAGTCCCAGCATTAACCATGCCTCTGCACCCACAACGCCACGAGACATATATGTACCTATACAAAAATGTGCAGCAAGTGTAGTATGAGTACGTAAATCACGTACCCAGTAAGTATCCCGTCTAACCTCGAAGAAGTAGTGACGTGGGGTCGACTCTGACACTTACTATGGGCGAACAATAAAATACCGATGTTATAATTAAGCATGAATTACATAATATAACTGGAAACTAAATAGCCAAAAATAATAAACAATCCTTTTACTAATACATATTTCCAAATTTATTTTTATCATTTAACAATTTGTATCTCAAGCCAATGGAACAATATCAATTATTATTAGTTCCAAAGAATTATCATGCGCAAGTCATGTCGAGGTCGTACGATCCGATCCAACATATAAATATAAACTGTGCACTGCTGAGGGTCGAACGATACGAACCATAGATGCATCTATTAACTTGTCGAGGCGAACGGCCCGCTTCCATGAGAGTAGTGAAAATTTTCCCCACTCGCAGAATATATTTGCGACGCGGTGTTGATACCCAATTTGGCACTCATATTTTCTAAAATAGTATATATATACTTTAAAAACATCATTTTTGCATCATTATTTAGCTTGAAAATCTATACGAGCATTTTCTATAATTTTCCATAATTTTTAAAGCTTTTAAATTGATTTTCTTGTACTTAAATTACTTGAATAATTATTAATTACTTCTTCAAATTATTTTGTGATGACTTAGTTACCTAAAATTATTATTTTCACCTATAATATATATTTTAAATAATTTTACTTCATTTTATATAATTACATTAGCATTTGTTAAGCTATTTGCACAATTTTGTAGTAATAGCCTATACTCATGCATAAATGTTTTTATATATATTATTTGTGTCAAAATAGTATTTTATATTTTTATAATACTAAGTTATTATTTTTAATTATTTTAGTACATAAATATTTTTATTTATTTATCAAGTGTTTTTATAAATTATTTTTGTATATTTTAAATAGTAGCCCAACTTTAAACTAATTTTTGAACCAAAATTCGCCTAGTATCCTTAGCCTAACCCCCTGGACAAGACCAAATGACCCCTTTAGTATAACCCGGTCGGGACCCGTTCTGTGACCTACCTCACTTCCCCTCTAATCCTAGCCGTTAATCTCAAATGATCAACGACCAATAGCCATTCTCCCGTTTTAGTTAACCTAACCCGCCCCAAAACCCTATCATTTTCTCTCATATTCCGCCCTTGAATCCTCTCTTCTCCTCTCCTTAGAAATCCTAGCCGCCATCTCAATTTTCTCCAAATTCGTCTCAACCATAGATTCTTTTCATGATTTTTTTGCCTTTTATGTGTTATCTTAGTACTACCCGCATGATCATGGTATCACTTAGTACTTGCCTCAGCATGGCAAGTACTATCTCTCAGATTCTGGCCATTCAACTTCAATCGCTTAAATCTGGATGATATCTCGTCCATATGCATCATGGCCAGGCTATATGGGTCTGATTAGCTAAGATCTCCGGCCAATTTCCGATTAATTAGGGTTTACTTAATCTTTCTCTAATCTGACTTTTTGCTGATTCTACATGATATTATTTCCTTATTTATGTTAATTTTACAATATTTCTTATTTCTTTGCCGGATTTCTACTACTATATAAACCTTTCCCCATTCCCCTTTGAAATATACCTTAATTGTTAGATTTCACTAAAAAATTGAAGCTATTTGTTCTGTTATTCCCTCATTTTCTTGTTCTGTACTTGCCGGCTGAAAGCCAAGGCCATTGGGATTCGATTTTTCAACATTTTCTTGGTGCGAGCATTTTCCGGGGTTCCTTTGAAGCCCTTGGGAACTTTGACGCATTAAGATTTTGGGTTCTTGCTCTTTGTTGATTCAGAATACTGTGGAATTTTTTTCTTTATTGTTATCCGTTTAACTGGTAAGTCACTTGACTTTTGCAATTTCGTTCTTGTGTGTCTTTTAAGAGTTGCATATTCTTATTTCTGAAATTCATGGCTCAATGTGTTTCTGAACTACTTTTGTGTACAACTTTGTTAGCTTTACACTCGCTTTGAGCCTCTTTAGTATTTAATTTCACCTAAAGCTACCAGTTCTGAGATATGTTATTTGAATATGGTTCGCTTGAATGATTTAGACCATGTTAAGTTCGTATTAGCCTAATGTTGATACCTGAATGTCTACATTTGCTATTTGACATTGAGCTTGCATTTTCACTCTGTTTTGAACTCCTATAATGTGTCTTAAGATCCTCACTATCAACTATGACTTGGTCTTCTGTTAGTATGTCCCCCAACATGTTTTGGTTTGCAGCCGTAGTGATTATTTGAGACCTTTGGAATAGCTATTCTTAATTTGTGTTTCCCTACCATGTTTGATACTGTTCTGTTTCATGATATAAGTTAACATGGTTGTCTTATGATATTGTGATGAATCCTTAGCATAATTTGGACCTTTAGGCTTTAAACCTTTTAAGTTAGTGCCCTACTTAGACTTGTTTGGTATTATGCACCTTTGTATGATAATCTTGTTAATCTTGCGAACTTGTTTCTCCCCTAAGTCTTTCAACACATTTATGTTAATGCGTTATTTTGCTAAGTGTTGAACCTACTTCTAAGTCTTGTTGGCCTTCTTAACTAGTACGTTCTATGTTTTCAATTATGCTATGTCTACTTTAAGCTATAAGTGTATTTCCTCAATTTTTGTCCCTTAACCATTGTCCACTGACTCTTATTTGGTACCTGTGCTATTCGGAACCTATCATTCTTGTCCGGCTAAAAGCCAAGGCCACTAAGACTCTTACTACTGACCTCCCTAGTGTGAGCACTGCTCGGGGTCCATTTGAGACTCTTGTGAACTCTGACATACTAGGATTTGGGGTCTTTTAGCCACTCTCTTTACTACTGAGGCTTGAGCTATCTCTAACACTCAGTTCTCCCCTCATTCTATCTACTGAATATGTAAATTGGTTGGTTTAAGTGATTTAATGTTTGGGTAATATGGTCAATCTATTGCTGTTTGGTTTGGCTTGAATTCCTCTATGATTTCCGGGCTGTGCTGATGAATATAGTTCCATGTTGGAAATCTGGGTATGCTATGAGAGTTGTTGAAGGCCCAGGCAATGCTGGGTATTTCCTTTTGGGCCTGCTGCGGGCCTACTATTAGTGCTTTTATAATTTTGTAACTACATTCATCATTGGGTCTGTAATAACTTTGTAATAAATAATTGGGGGTGTTAGTGAAATTTGGGGAACGAGTATAATCTACTATTTGCATGCAAGGGTAGAAAACATGCCCATAGGGTTCATGTGATTTACCTGACTTGCTTCCACTGGTAGAAACCATGCCTTTAGGAAACTCACACACACACACATAACTTGTCTATCATCGAAGCACGGGTGTAAACACTCTATTTTATTCTACTGCTATGTGTTACTAGACAACATACCTATAAGAAATAAACATTCTCTCAATCCGCATAACTGCTTCATATTCATTAAATACCATACCTATAAGATCCCACTAGCTTATGTTCTATTGATTTTCACCTAGAAATCATGTCTATAGGACCTTAATTAATCAATTAGCTACTATTATTGTTATTGCTCCGCCTAGGTAACCTGCTCATAGAGGTAAAGTGTTATAAAATCAAGGCTCGATTGTCAATTGCTAGAGATCCTACCTATAGGATACTGTCATTCGCTTAATATTGTTTATCTACTTGTCAAGGCTGGGTTTCCAGAACTATTCTCATTTGTTTAACTATGCCACTATTAGATATCATGTCTATAGGACAATATCACTCTTCTAAAACTGGTATCTAAAACCGGCGTTAACAGCAGATGGTCTACTGCCTCCTCGTCTAAGCCACTAAAGGAAATAATGTTATATATGCGCGTTTGAATCCAAGGTCACCTAGAAATCACGCGTATATGGCTTAAGGATTTTAATTCTGAAACTGCCTAACATGAAAACCTGTTTTGCGTGAATTTATTGTCTAAGTGTGGAGGCTAACTTGAGCCCTTAATTGCCCATATTTGAAGTCCAACTTATTTTGTATGTCGCCTAGTTTTATTATTTTGAGCAACCTAAGTTAAGTCTAGAACCGCCCTAAATAGAGGTCCAATGCCTCCTGGACCCTAGGTATGGGGCGGGTAGTGTACGCATAGAGCACGACTTAGAATTGAATTAGAGCGCTTTTAGGTAAACAACTTTAACATAGTAATCGGGTAGCAGGAGATAATAGTCTGTGCCCGCTGAATAATATGAATAATTTCCTACCTCAAGGGAGTTGCGAAGTATTATTTATGTTGCACAGGGTGATCCTTTAGGCTAAAAAACTTAGGACCCCCCTCTTTTCTTTACACATTAGTCATTTAACATAGACTTAATAGTTGTATCCTTGTAATCCTTATTTCTCTCATGTTATAATAGATTCATTTGACCCATACTCTCTTTGTTTATCTTGCCTAATTATAATCCACATAGTCTTAAGTTTGGCCGGGACCCGCAGTTGTGGACCTCGAGGAGTGCCTAACACCTTCTCTTTGAGGTAATTTGAGCCCTTACCCGATNCGGTTGAACATAGATTTCTCAACTTATTATAATTTTCCTCAATTCTTTTCAAAAATACAAAATTCAAATGAAAACTTTCAAATCTCGAAATTCTCAATTTCAACTCTTTTCAAGGCAATTAGCAAGCATACTCAACCTCAATTCTTTCCAAGACAAATAATAAACATAATCAAATAACAGTATCAACAAGGCATGGTGTAAACCTAAAACTACCCGGATATAGGCAAAAAATGAGAAACAAAATACACAAGAATAGATATGGGGAATTGTACTCAACATCACACTGTTGCGGCGTGCAACCCGATCCACACATGATACTGTTGCGGTGTGCAACCCGGTCCAATCATGATACCCCTGGCGGCGTGCCACTGGGTCCAACCAACATACCCGTGGCGGCGTGCCACCCGATCTACACATAACAATCTATAAGGAAATACTTACCGAGCTAGAGTGCTCATACCTGGGAAATACCAGAATGTCGACCAGAAGCACGCCAAGTGAATAATACCATCATTGGGGGAGACAGATAGCGCCATACACTGCAAAACTCAAGCACGACTAAGGTGTAATAAATGACCTGCATCTCAAGATCCATCCTGCTCATATAACACCGCAAGCTATACGGGACCCCAACACATGTGCAAATAATCAGGCCCTCTCCCAACCCGCATGGCACAATAAAGTATTACATGGAATAGCTGACGACAGAAATAACATCTAAGTTCCGAAGACTCCTGTGTAAACAACGCTATGCTGAAATGAACACATCCGGCCTGATATAGAGCCCACATTCACCTCTAGATCCACCCACAGACCTCAAGCCGATTCTGATTGTACTGCACTAGGCTAATAACCTTTCAAGGATCCACAATAACCCCTTTTTCCCATGACATAAAAGAACAACCTCCAAATCCGGAACAAACTTCCACAGTCCACAACCAAATGAACTGAGCGCTCTTCAGGCATAAATTCTCACATTAGCAATAGTACCATAATCTCCATACTTGGTTTCAATCTTTAATCAATAAAGTGACTATATGTCACACTTATACAATCTTTCTGTGGGATACGCTCCCGTGACCTTCCACACCAGGTAACCAAGTCTGCACATCCATGCCACTGGCCACACAATGTTGTATGGCAAATCGAGAATCCTCTAATAAGTACACAAAGCCTTTTACACAGGACACCGATCTCAGGTGATGCTAAAGACAATACCAGCTTACTCTAAGCATCTGAATTCTTCCCTGATCATCCGAGCCCTTGACATTCTTGTCGATACCAAACTACAACCTTGATCCTCAACTTCCGATTCTCATGCCACTCACTACACCCAACATACCAATACGTGGGAGTACAAGAATTCCATCATAACTCCTGATCCACTAATAGAATAAACACTCTATCATATAGCAACCTTTCACTTAACTCATTTCAGGAGAACCATTGCAACATGCGACTGAATTCCCATAACGGCAGAAAATACAACCGCAAGTAGTTGTCTAAACCACCATAATCCTTCTGGAATCCATCTACACATAACAGGTCATAATACTCAAATGTCTCCAAATAAAATCAATTACGGTGGCCGTCGAGCCTCGCAGGAACCGCCACAAATCACATGTATAACTTAACACACCGAAAGAACTGATCATTGCCACCATTATGCCAATTCAACTATTGCTAATTGATCCGGCTTCTTCTAATTTACTCTAGACTTGCCTTAGGAATAATAATAGCTCCATTCAAAATATAACGAACCCAAATCCACACTCATCCCGAGTGACCTCATTCCACGAGACCATGTTGTCTCCAAACCCACGAACCATCTCATACCCTCCTTGTGCGCATATCCGCATCTTTAACTGGTACACCCATTCTGATAATTCCTCTATGAATCCGAAGTTATTTTCCCCCATTCCTCAAATGCTGCACCACAGACCGAAGATAACATAGAACACTCCAAGTCCCTTTCATATTTCGCTGCAAAAGCTCGATACTTAACCTTACTATATACTCAAAATCCTTAGGCACTGCACTTTACTTTTTGAACCCGCTAGGACCATTTTTGAGAGTCACCCACTCCAACTTGGTACCGAATATAATCAACTCCAAGGCTCTCCTAGCACATGAACACCCTCTCAAGGAAGCAATCAGTTGAATTCCTTCCCCTGTACATCAGATCCACACGGAGTATAAACTCCGAGTCTTCCCAAAACTTGAACATGAATCGATAAGGCCAAATATATCACACATTCCCCAAATCCTTTGCTCAAATTACAATGATGTTTTCTTTCCTTAGTTGTAATAACCCACCAATATGCCGATAACCATAAACCTCACAAGTAGACAACCATGCGATCCAATCGTAGGCGATGGGACTCTCCCACTTAGCTTGAAGCTACTTATTACATAACCCTGGAACCCACCAAGATTCCTTATCCCCTATTGACATGATCTTGCACAATAAACCCGCCAAATTCCTTAAAATCCTTTTGTTAACATTTTATGAACATTCTGAATCACTAGCTACATTTACATATTCAACCTCTTACCGGATAGCCAGTAAAATGCTTTGTAGAAGCTTCGTCAACACCACACAACCGCTAACCTGCTCACAGGAGATAACTCACCTATGGAAATTCCATGCCGACACCTTCCAATGACGCTGCATTGAGTGCAATTACTATGAAACCCATAAACCATCCTGAGCCTGTGCTTATTCACTAGCTGTACAAGTTTGTTCACTCCCTATTGACATCAACTAAAGGTGCAACGACACATTCCAATCCAAAGTCATGTTGCATCCCTCTTCATATCGAGCAACTTTTTTTCGTTGTATCCAATCTTCCTCAGTATAGTATCCAATATTCCAAATTAAGTCCGTAGGCCTAGTCACTGCCCACCATGAAATCCCAAATAAACTCTAAACTTTCCTCAAGGCTTGTAGCTATCCTAGCACAAAACCCATGTGCTACTCTGCCACTCTCCCACTTTGGTCAAACCCTCTCATTTGAGCAACTACTCGACTTCTGCTCCTCACACTTGGCCTTCTAGAAATTTAACCCCCGCAAGACACCTCCTACATGCCCTTCCTCGTCCTTCGCTGCCCAATATTTGACTTAAATAAAAATCCATCCCCTTAGCACTTGAATCAATAGATCGCTACCAACTCTAAACCTCTCCGAAGATCATCCTTCTCGAGCCATTAACACTAGGAACACCGATTCGACCCTAAACCACTGCACACCATGATCTTTAACAGCTGCTTCCTTGGCACCATTTCAACCTTGCCCCAAAGGAGAATTGAAAAACACCATAATACCAGCAAACTTAACACATCCAACAAGGACAACGATGCTACATCACATATGAAAATTCCACCGTGCTCGAAAATACCAAGTTTCATCACGCTATCGACCCAAACCTGAACATTCTTAGTCCGATTGCCTTTTCTCCCCTGGAACTAATTGCAGAACCTCTAAGTCGCGAACTAAAAAATCCTTCTATCAAGTCATTTATTGCCGCGATCCATAAATAAGCACCCGACCATTACAACATCACTATGCGATAGCAACACATGAATCATCATAACAATCAATGCCCAAATACCAAAACCATAGGCAGTACTTATACTAAGCTAGAATGACAGAGCATCCTTCCGCAAGGCAACGACAATAGCCAAACAATTATGCAGGGAGAAATATCCTGCACCACATCTTTAGTATTATTACAATTCCTCGATTCCTAATTGATAACCAGTGCTCCACGTCGCATAAGACTGAATAAGAAGAAATAAAGGCATAAGCCTCAAAGTAATCAAATCGCACGATGAGGAATCAAGAAGGAAAGTGCTCCTAACAATCCTATAGCCTCTCGAAGATAAGTACAGATGTCTCCGTACCGA